GCGTTATCTAGCAAGTACATTGGGCCTAAGGCTAGTGCTAGGAGGACGCAGTCCAGTGGCCCTTACTGGGCACAATGACGCTTTGTGGGAAGACAATGCTGCGATGCTCAGGTCCTTCCAGGGCTACTGCTTTAGTTTTGGTGCAGGAGCTGTCTCGTGGCAGTCCACTCGTTCGTCATCTGTTTCTCAGTCTGTCTCGTGGCGGTCCACTCGTTATTTGATGTACTATGGAAGTATTAAAGCACCTTATACTGATTGATAGTGCAACATTGAGCAAACCTCATTCGATCCTGTGACACTTGGTAATCAGAGCCAAGGTTTCAGCTCAATGCTTAACCGCTGGGCCCGCGGGAGCACGCCAAGGATGGAGTCGAAACTTCAATTCTTGTGAGTACAATGCACTTTCAATTAAGTTTCAACTAACCTCGCGCAGTTGCACGTGGGGTCCCCTTCAAAGGCGAGATGCCTCGCCAACCGTTCGATGGACTGCATCGACAGAGCCAATTTTTTCGTGGGGGCAAAGGGCCTCGACCTCGCGAACACGTCCTACGACATTCCGAGAAGTTCGAAGTTCGCCACGACTCTTGGAGTTGCGCCAAAATGTGCGCAGCTGTGACCGATGACATCCATCCGATGGAGGTCCGACGCTTCAGATTGACCGAGGCGAAACGAAATCATAATGTGCGAGTTCGAGTTATAGCGCGAATGGGAACGGGACATCGCAAGCCGCGGAATTCTTCAAAGCGTCCGATCATTCGACAACCGACATCGACGACCGAGAATTGCTGTAGGAAACGAGTCAACCCGGGTACTGAAAGCTGCTGAACGTGACTCAGAAATATCTTCAGATCGCTTGGAGTTTGGACCGTCGTATTGACTTCTGCTTCAACGGACAAGATGGAGCGCGGCGTCTGCACAAAGGGAGAATGACGCATAGAACCAAAAATCAGCCATCTTCGACACCGTTCACTTCAGCTTGACAACCAGTTTTGGATTCTTCCAATTAAGCAGGAATGTGGCGCACAAATCATATTCCGAGTCAGAAATATGCCAAGGAATCACCTTCTTGGTAATACCTGCAAGCAGAAAACTGATTAGAGAACGTGGATCGTCGGATCGGTGCGGAATCAACGGCACGAATGCAGCGAAAACAACACTATGGGAAAGCATAATCATGGAGACAACATTCGTGACCAGCAACTGCACAATCGACGCATCTTCTGACTAGTGTCGATAACGATCAATTTATTTTGACGATGTCATCTTCGTTAAAAATGGATCGACATCAACACAACGAATCTACACCCCGGAGTATCAATTAAGCTGCGTGACGACATGTTCTCCATCCATGAGACACGTCATCTCATAAATTGGATCGACAACCTATGGGATTGCTGAGAAGTAGCCATTTTCTATTGCAATGCTCCCAAGTTCAAGTTGCTGTGAAGAAGTTTCTCAAAGTACAACAAGGCATCTCCAAGCTCCTCTCCTTCAAGCTCCCCTTCAAGTCTTCTTCAAGCCCCTCAAGTTCACACCACTACAAAGGCTCCTTGTTAGCATTCATGTTCTATGCCCTCTAGAGATGGTATTACCATGCTAACTTTCTTCCTAGACTACTATGAGTGGTCTCTCTCTCATGCATGTCCTTGTATCCACTATGGATTATAAGGCTTGTACTATACCTTATTTCATATAAGTTTATGCTCTCAGATTTCTCCCACAAAGATCCTAGATTAGCAAAGTAATCAAGCAATAGTCTATCGTATACACAACGCGAGTATAAGATGCATCACCAAGCCACAGGCTTGTAGGAAGATTCTCTTCCTCAACACTCAACCTTGTGGCACCTTCACTCTTCAAGTACAAGGCCCTCTCCTTCAACCACATCCAAGATTGTGGTCTCTCATCGAGCTTGTGGTCTCCTCCCAAGCTTGTGGTCTTCTCCCAAGCTCAAGATCCTTTCCAAGCACAAGTCCTCCTCTATCAAGAACCACTCCCAAGATCCTACAACTCTTCTATAAGACACACAAGTGTAAGTCTTTCAACCCTCTTCACAAGCATCTCTCCCAGGACAAGACTATTTTTACTCGCTTGAGTACATTTTCCTTATTTCTTACAAGCACATTATAATCCAATTTATATGTGCTACAGTTCTACTATTGCACTCTTGTCCTACTCAACCGTGCAATTATACTCTTTTGTCGTTACTAAACTCTCTTTAGTAGCCACATGCATAGTGGCAGCGTGCGTGCCAGGCGGCAGCGCGCAGAATGCGCCTGCTCCGCCGACGAAGGCGCAGCTGCGCGCGGAGCTGCAGGCGATGACGAAGAGCATCGTGAAGCGGTACCCGCAGCACTCCAGATACGCGCAGGTCGCCTCCAAATACATCAACCTCGCCCGTAAGAACCCTGATCTCATCCCATTCTCATCCCTCCTCGTCTACGGGTGGTCCTCATCCCATTCTCATCCCAGCAACCTGATTTTGGATACGCACCGTGGTTCCAGATACGCGTAGGATGCCTCCAAATGCATCAACCTCGCCTGTAAGACCTTGGACCGCAGCTTGTCTGTCCCTCAACTCGTCGAAGCCAAGTCATATCTTCCTCCCTGCCCCGCCCCCTCCCCTCCCCTTCCCCCCTTCCGCTCCCCTCCCCACTCTTTTTAGAAACCACTCACCAAATTCTGCTGTCCTCCTCTCTCCCTCTGTCATGCATACCCTCCCCCCCCCCCCCCTCCTTCCCAAAATCCTTCTCATTTCTCAAAGTCACTCACTCTCACTCCTCCTGTCTCCCCCCCCCCCCTCTTTCCCAGTGAACTCGAGGTACGACCTATCAGCACTGCGAGACGCGTCCATCCTGATCCCCAACAACGCGCAGGCAGAGGCGCTCGCCAAGAGGATCCCCGCTAAGAGCAGCAGCATCCCCACGGTGTACAACATCACAGCGTTCCACATCCTGCGCAAGCGCATGACCGTCCCGCAGCTGCGCCAGGTGAAGCAGCGGGTGGCGGTGGGCACGCAGCTCCGGCAGCCGGTGTTCAAGATGACGGCGGCGAATAGCAGCGCGGTGGCGTTTGCCAAAGGGCCGTATTTGAAGCAGGCACAGTGGACCACGATCCGCATCCCCGGGCTGTATGTGGGCCACTGGTTCATTGCCCATGGGGTCGACCGCGTGCTCATCCCCACTCACACCAAGATTTGATGATACTGTACAGTTGGGGGGGGGGGGAGGAGAGACGAGGGAGGGGGGGAGGGGGCAGACGAATGGGAATGTGGGGGGCGAGGGGAGGGTGATGCAGAGCTTGAAGAGTGGAAGAAAGAGGAAAGCAAGCATGTGTGCCTTGCTTGCAGGTCAATGCAGTGCACCCTTCCAGTGCTGCAGCAGTGCAACGTTAGATAGCTCAGAAGAACGCTCTCTGCTGACCGTGCTCGGTGCTGGAATGCCCCACTGCATTGCCTTCATACATACCGTATACGTGAAACACATCGCTATTATTTTTTCGCTAGCACTTTGCCTCATAGGTACCTTCGCATTGAGCTAAGAATTGGAGAGGGCGGTGTATTGAAACAACTGAAGCTAAAGCTCCCAAATGGATGGTCCAACTGACATGCTGCTGCCCTACCAGAGATACGTGTGGATATTTCGGGACAACCAAGCAGGGCTGACGTTTCAAAAAAAGGCACTCTGAGCCAACCCCCCCCCAAAAAAAAAAAGTCTGAAGGGCCTTCAGCCGAAATTTTTGTAGTCTGAAATGTCAGGGTCCATAACTCAGCGAGTCTGATTTTTTCAGGGTCTAGGACGTACAACCAGAGTCACACACGGGAAACACCCCCATAGCGAGAAACGTCCCTCCCTCCTACACCTCCCAAAAAATCGGATGAGTCCCTTGCAGCATTAAAAATCTTCCCACAGCCCGCGCCCCCCCCAACCAGCAACCTTGTCATACCCTCGTTTTGCGTAGTTGTTAAATGTGGGAAACGGGGAAGTCATTCCTAAAAACCGAGAGGGTAAAATCGCACTGCCACGGAAATCGAAACTGAGGAGAGGGGGAATCGAAACTGACGGGGAAATGGGGAGGGAATCAAAATGGAGGGGAGGGGGGAAGCGAAACGGAGGGGAGGGGGGGAAAGGGGGGGGGCGGTCGAAACGGAGAGGATGGGGGAAGCGAAATGGAGGGGAAGGGGGAAGTGATCGAAACGGAGGGGAGGGGGGAAGCGAAAATGGAGGGGAAGGGGGGAATCGAAACGGCAGGGAGGGGGGAAGTTGGGGAATAGGACGGTGGGAGAAATTTCGCGCCCTTGCAGCGCCCCGGTGGGGAAATCTTGGACGTTAATTACTACATAACATCGAACGATTGATATACGTCGAAACGATCGCAAACGATCGTGACCGTTACATCCGGTTAGACTTTCAGTTGACCAAACGGGCAACTGGCGAGAATTTCCCTATGTTAAAAATGCGGAAATTACTCTCATTTCAATGCAGTTAAAAAAAAAAAGTGAAAGTCTCGTTCAAAACTTCTGGGTTGTTCCAGGTGTTAGGGAGGACTGTATCTGACAACATGACTTAGTTGAAATTTAGGGTGGGTTGTGGGGTGTGTGGGGGATGTCTCTAGTGTTCGGGGACTTCGCCGAAATTTTAGATGGGTTGTGGGGTGTGGGGTGGGGGTTGTCTCTAGGGTTCGGGGACTTGGCCGAAATTTTTTAGGGGTTGTGGGGTGTGTGGGGCATGTCTCTAGCGATTGGGGACTTCACCGCCCACCGCCCACCGCCCACCAAGGTTGGTACTGTACGGGTAATGAGTCAGGGTCTGTACGCGCTGTGCTCTGAAAACTCAGTACTGGGTTAGCGACAACTCCGATTTTCTCGGGATCCCTAGAATCGTACTCTGAAGGGATCAGGATTGGGAAATGCCTTATCTGAAAATTCAGGTTTGGCCAAAAAACAGGTATGAGATTTCAGACTAATCAGAGTAAATAGACTGATAATTTCAGCCCTGCAACCAAGTAGCAAACTGGTTGATATTACTGGTACCATACAACAAGTATTTAACAACTGCAACATGTTTCGTGACTTAGTCCCATCATGTTGATACCTCACCCCATGCTATGCTACCCTACATGCTCCCCCCATCCCATCCCGCCCTCCTCCCACCTCAGTTCCCCAACGCAGAACCCGTGTCTAGCTGGTATGTTCAGGCACCAAAACGACCACACTGCTTGCAGGTGCCACTACCCACATACACTCCATGCCCTGCCATCTAAGCTTGAATGAAATAGTTCCCTCTTGACTATGCCCCTCACCTGCCTGCCAGTCCCTGCCAGTCTCTGCGGAGCCTCAAACACAGACTGAGTATATGTCCAGACTGTGCACAGATCATACCGCACACATTCGTTGAGTCGTCTCAACAGACGTGGCCGCCTGCACCCTCCTCCACCGCCTGCACCCTCCTTCATCCGCTGCTGCCTATCATGCGCCTCAAACACCACCGCTTCCAGTCTCCGCCACAACACCCTTCTTCATCCACTACTGCCTGCCGTTAGACTCAAACACCATGGCTTCAAGTCCCCACTGTACCTCCATCACATCGCACACATAAAACGCACTATTTGCACAGTTTCACCAAACACTGGCTCCCACCTGCACCCTACTTCATCCGCTGCTGCCTGTCATGTGCCTCAAACACCACTGCCTCCAGCCTCCGCCGCACCTCATCCATCATATGTGCATACATCCTCCTCGTCTCCTCATTCCCCACCGCCCTCACATTCTCAATCCTCCTCCTCAACGCCTCCGCCTCCTCCTCCCTCCCCTCCACACTCAACTCCCTCTCTCCTGATTCCGCTCCACCTACTCCCCCTTCTAGTCTCTCCCCATCCCCTGTTCTCCCTCCTCCTCCCGCGCTTTCTGCTAGTAACCCTCGCTGCGTCAGATCCTGTAGCCGCTGAGTTAGCACCTCGGGTGAGTGGATCAGAGCGTCAGTGCCAAACGTCAGCAGCTGCTGCCGCCACGTGGGATCAAGAGACACAGCCGCATCACTGTCCCTCATACTTGTACTGCTGCTGCTGCTGGTGCTGCTGTCACTTCTGTTACTGCTGCTGGTGCTGCTGCTGCTGCTGCTGCTGCTGCTGTCAGTTCTGCTGCTGCTGCTATGGTCGGATGAGAGGGCGTCAAGGCGGGCAGCATCTTTGGCTTGCTGGCGCAGCGAGGGGATGTCGAAGGAAAAGGGTTCGCCCACTACCACACTCACGCGCTGGTTCCACAGTGGAATCAGTGGACGCTTGTTGCTGCCCCGGTAGTTCTGAGGGATGATCTGTTGACGGAAGGGAGGGGGGTTTTGCGGGGGGGGGGGCACAGAAAGTAACATGTTGGTTGAAAGAGAAGGGTCCGCCCACCACCACACTCACTCGCTGGTTCCACAGACGGATCAGCATGCGTTTGTTGCTGTGGTAGTTCTGAGGGATGATCTACATGCAGCGAAGGGGTGGGCAAGATTCGAGGGAAGTCAGAAGTTCTGTCACTCCCCTCCCTCTCCTCTCCCCCTCCCTCCCCCTCTCCTCTCCCCCTCCCTCCCCCTCTCCTCTTCCCCTCCCTCCCCCCCCCCCCACACGATTCCATAGACTCGCCCTTCCAATGCTGCTGTGCCCAGCACACACAGGGATGGGCGGGGGAAGCGAGGGGGAGAGCGGGTAAAAAGGACAAGGCGCCCCCTCATCCGCTCAAGGCCGTTACGCCCAGCACACACAAGGATGGGCGGAGGCAGCGATGGGGAGAGCTGGTCAAGCAGACACCCCTCCCCCCACATCCCCCCCCCCTTCTTCCCCCCCGCCCCCATCCACCCCACAACTTGCCTGGACTCACCCGCTCAAGGCCGCTGTGCCCCACACACAGCAGGATGGGCGGCGGCAGCGAGGGGCCGAGGCGGTCCAGCAGACACTCCCCCCCCAAAACCCCACACCTTGCCTCGACTCACCCGCTCAAGGCCGCTGTGCCCCACACACAGCAGGATGGGCGGGGGTAGCGAGGGGCAGAGGCGGTCCAGCAGACTGGCGAGGCCCCACTTGAGGCGCGGCAAGGGGCCGTGCTCCTGGATGATGCGCGCCTCGGGGAAGATGTGCAGCTGTGGATGGAGGGGGGCAGGGGGGAGGACGGATTTGGGGGGGGAGGGACGGCACCATGGCGATTCAACCCACTTGAAGCGTGCAAGGGGCCGTGCTGCTGGATGATGCGCGCCTCGGGAAAGATGTGCAGCTGTGGATGGAGGGGTGGGCAAGAGAGCACACTTAATATACAATGAAGAGGGCTTGCCAAGAATGGCCTTAGAGAGGAACCCATTCCTGGCAAGTAAGCTGGGTTGGGTTGACCAACTAGCCTGGTGGGGCTAATAACCTATTACCACCTTGTGGTACTAGTAGTTGCACATGCATGTGAGGTGGTTTGGCCAACACACCAAAGTTGGCTGCACCTCACATGTGGCGTTGGCAACAAGTGGCTGACCCAATTTCTACAATTTCCGAATTGGGCTCACCCCAGTAAGGGTGTTTACCCGTTCTACACCCAACACTGGAGCATGCAGATATAGCGATATTCGAACAGAGCCATGCTGCTGGACGATGCGGGCCTCAGGGAAAATGTGCAGCTGGGGATGGAAACGGGGGAAGGGGAACAAAAGGGGTCAAAGGGGTCAAAGGGTTCAAAGGGGTCAAAGGGTTCAAAGGGGTCAAAGGGTTCAAAGGGGTCAAAGGGTTCAAAGGTCACAACCCACTTGATGCACGGAACCCCTTCTCGGTACGGGCCATACGGCTGGATGAAAGGTGTGGGGCCAAATGCTAAGTAGACGGCCCTTATACATGGGTGTGTGTGTAATGAGGTGTGGCGCAGAGTTGATGGGTGGACGATGCAGCTGGCGACATGCCAAGAGTTGGTTTTGAGACGTCTCAAAACCACGTGAAAGTGAATTCGTTTTGTCGCAAAACAAATTCACTGTCGGGTGGATGATGAAGCTGGCGCCATGCTAGTAGGAGTTGGCAACAAATGTGACGCACTAGCCCAAAAGGGAAAGAACATAGCACAAGGCAACCAATGGAAGGTTGGAAAGGAAGGCGCCTACTGGATGCTACTGGATGCTAGTTGAGTACCACCCCCCCACTAGGAAGGTTGGTGCAAAACCACACTCATTTCATGCAGCTTCAAGCTCACCCTATTCCTGGGTAGGTGTAGAGGTGACTTTTGAGTCGACTCAAAACCACCTTCCATTTCACGCAGCTTTCAGCTCACCCTCTCCACCAGATGTACCTGCAGAACGTGTCCAGTCATTTTGATATAGTTGCAAACAGAAAAGGCCCACTGGTGCAGCTGCTCCCCAATCACCCTGGTGTAATTGCGGAACTTACCCAGTCACCCAGGTGTAATTGCGGAACTTACCCAATCACCCTGGTGTAATTGCGGAACTTACCCAATCACCCTGGTGTAATCGCAGCAGAGCCTCGTCCATGCCTTGTTGGAACACTCCTAAGTTGCGCGATATGGGGATGCTCTTGCCTGCAGCGAATACAGACCACACGATGGGAGAATGGACAGGAGGGAGGGGGGAGGGAGAGGGGGAGGAAAGAACACCCCTCTATTGCACGATGCGATATGGGGATGCTCTTGCCTGCAGAGAATACAGACCACATGATGGGAGAATGGACCGGGGGGGATGGGAAGTGGGGGGGAGAGAGGGGGGATAGACAGACCACTCCTCTGTTGCACGATGCGATATGGGAGAAAATGCTCTAGCATGGGGAGAATACAGACCACAGGGGGATGGGAGAATGTACAGGGGAGAGGGGGGAGGGAGGATAGAACACGCCTCTGTTGCGCCATACAGGGATGCTCTTGCCTGCAGAGCGACATGCGTGCATGGGTGGGTGGACTTACATATGTGAATGGATGGGTGGGTGGACGGACATGTGTGCATGGGAGGGAGGGTGGACAGGAGATATGGGAAGGGGGGAGGGAGAGAGGTAGGTTGGAACACGCCTCGGTTGTGTGACATGGGGATGCTCTTGCCTGCAGACATACAGAGAAGAGATGGAGGAGGGGAGAACACTTGGCCCATTCAGCTAACACTTGAGCATACCACACTCGAAACCCGTACGAGTCGAAAGGATATTACCGATTCTGAAGATGTATGAGTCCAGCACCCCCCTGAAGCAGATTTCGGAGGCAGTGAGCGTCCAGCGGCACAACTTGGGGTCCCATATCCGCAGCCCGGGCACCCCGCCCCACAGCAGCGGGTCGTCTATGCTGCAGGTGCGCCAAGGGGGGGGGGGGGGGGGGGGGGGGGGGGGGGGGGGCAGGAACAGGCGGAAGCAGGCGGAAACAGGGGGAAACAGGGGGAAACAGGGGGATCCGCGGTCAAAGAGGGCTAATAATGGAGTGAAGGGGAGGAGAGGTACGGGGGAGAGCGGGCTGGAGTCTAGAGCCAATCGTACGGTGCCAAGTGAGACGAGAATTCTAAAAAAGCAACTCATTTGGAGCAATCGTAGATTCTAAAGAAATAGCTCATCTGGAGCCAATCGTACGTCGCCATGTGGTTGCTGACGGTGATCAGCGGGGTGTCAGCCGGCCGCGAGTGCACCAGATCCAGCAGCGTCTGCCGATTGGTCACCTCCATCCGATTAAGGACGTTCATATAGAACCACGACAGGGAGCTAATCGTCGCTATTGCCACGCGCCTCGGGATCCCGAACAGATGCGACGCCTCAGCGGGAGGCGCAAAGACCCCGGAGATTAAGGAGCTGGCACCGCGTCGGCCATCGGCAGCGGCGGTTGCTGTTCTAGCTGCCGCTGCTCGCGCCGCAGCCGACGCTGCGGAGACGAGCGGCTTGGAAGCTCGCACGCCGTTGCTCATGATCGGTGCGTTTCGTCGTCTCGACGATCGAATCGGATCGGCACCGAATGATATGACGCCAACGGACGGTGACCCTGACGTGTGGCACGGAGTTGCGGTCTCAGGTGAGACCGAAACAGGAAGGCTCGTTTCAATAGTCTACATCGGGTAGCCAAGGGATCGTCAGTCACACATCAGGTCTCGCGTCATCTCGTTCGACTATTACCAAGCTAGGAGAACGGAGAGCCGCTGCTGTAAAAGATCCACAGACACGCCGGCCCTGCTGCAGGAAAAATTATGGTAGGGGCGAATCGAGGTTGTCAGAATAGTGAGGGACTGGGAGGGGAAGAGATTGAGGACGTGGAACCTCTGGCTCACTTCGAGGATTGTTTGGAAAATTTCGAGGGTAACAGGCGGGTTACTCTAATGTTACAGCTGTCAAGCTGGGGAAGGTTCCAAAACGAAATCCGCGCCATTTTCGGCTAACCTCCGATATTTGATCTTCCGAAACGACCACCCAGCTGTCAAGATGGCTGCACGTTCAACAGTCATCCGATCCGCGCTTTGCGAAAGAAATGCTATTCGCGAATTGATGCACACGACAGCAGCCGAAACCCGCCAGCTGTCTGCATGCCGCCCATTCAACAACCCCATTGATGTCAAGATTGGGTTGTGACGAAGTTTGGTTTTCAAGTAACAAGGTTTCGCAATTGGTCTGGGCGACAGTGTGGCACTGTCGAGATTGCCAAACGACTCAGCGCGTCGGTGCTTGCATATTTGGAACATGTGCGCAAATTGGGGGGGATCATTTCGGGGACCAGGCTGGGCGCGATCCCAGTCTGTTTTGATAATGGCCCTACAAATCGCTCTACATCCCCTCAATCCTACAAATGAGCCAGAGGTTCCACGTCCTCAGGACAATCGCTCCTCAAGCTTCCTAGGAAGCTCTCAATGGCTGTTTAGGTGTACTGTACCGTTGATGGGAGAGAGGACACACTTAGGGCGTGTCATAAACACGACCTGTTTCCAGGGTTGCGGACCTTCAAGATCGGGGATTACAAGGTTTTGAAAGAGATTTGTTTAGGCTATTAAAGTTTTCAGTACGGTAAAATGTCGGTTCGTTGTTGTCGACCCTGGTCATCAAGTTTTTTCACGTTCTGGAACGGTCAAATAAAACTCTACAACGATTGAGTATGGTATTCTGCGAAGACGTTTTTTTTTTTGGGACACGCCCCTTTATCGAGGATGACGTCACCTCGGCTCATTTTATGGGGTTCCTCGATAAAAACCAGGGACAGTCAAATACTTCCACGACATATCGAACGAGGGGCCATACGGGAGGTGGATGAAAACAATGGTTGAGAAAAATGGCCCATACAGGTCTCAAACCTGTGACCTTCGCGTTATTAGCACGACGCTCTAACCAGCTGAGCTAATAGGCCTGTCAATCTTCGGACCGTTGTTTTGTTCTAGATTCAAATAATTTGTATCTTGCTACTCTCAGCAGTCACCTTTATGAGTTACGCCCTGCCAGACAACGTGACGACTAGATATAATCTTAGGCTCGTCTTACACCATTGTCCATTCCTTCCTCCGTCTCTCTTCCTTCGGATTACTGTTATCTAGCAAGTGGTGGCCATAGGAGCTCCCCAGGGGGGGGCGACATTGGGGATGAGGACAGAGGGCAAGGATGGGAAGGATGGCAAAGACGGCAAGGACGGCGAGCATTCGAGGTCGCATTCGATGAAGAAGAGGATGGAATCGGTTCTCGGATGGGCGGCCAGGATTCTCCCGCGCTCCAACAGCGGCGGCAAGGGGCCCGGTGCGGGGCCGCGGGAAGAGAGCGAGGTGGAGCGGAGAGTGGTCGAGGCGCTGCGGCGGCGGAGAGAGGAGGACGAAGCTTCCGGGAAGAAGCGGATCGTGCACTTTAATACCCTGGTGATGAAATTCGCCAAGTCGGACGAGGCGTTCAAGCAGATCCGGAAACAGTTCGACGAGTACGGTGAGCGATCCGTCCGTACCCACGTCTAGGGAATCCATGCTCGTATTGTGATTCAACGCGAGTATACTGAATGGGCGTCGTCCGTCGCCTAGATTGCTGGATTTGGGATCATTGTCCTTGGCGACCGGTTACCTCGGGTCCCCATGCCTTGATTCCCCACTCCCCGTGAACTGAGACTGCTTTCGAGGCGCCTCAAAAGGGTCCCCGTGCCTTGATTCCCCACTCCCCTCCATCCTCCGCCCAATGCATCCTCTTCACAACCGCCTCCCATCAACCTATCCGCTTACCCCCTACCCCCAACCCCTCCCCCTCCCCTCCCCTCCCCCCCCTTCCCACCGCCGTCCATCCCGCTACCCCTACCTCCCCCTCCCCCTCCCCCGCCCTCGTCCCCATGCTCTCCACCCGCTCATCTCCTTTCACCCTTGCCCCACCCTCTATCTTTGCAGTCTCTAGTGTCGCAGGCTTGAGCTCCCGGGCGGCTGCTGTTGACAATTGCAGCCGAAGAGGGCTTGAGTTGAGATGAGACGCCAGAACAGAGCTTGAGGCTACACCTGCTTCTTTTCTCCCCTCCCCTCCCCCACCGCTTTCCTCTCCTCCCCCCCCGCCCACAGGCAAGGACGCGAGCCAGTCGATCGACCCGGAGGAGCTCAAGACGTGTCTGCACACGCTGGGAGCGGCGATACTCGATAGTGAGACTTCTCCTTGTGTCGTATGTTTCGCCTCCCCTTCTCCCCTTCTCCCCTTTTCCTTCTCCCCCTTTCCCCGCCCACCAGACAAGGATGCGAGCCAGTCCATCGACCTGGGGGAGCTCAAGACGTGTCTGCACGCGCTGGGAGTGGCGGTAGTGGAGACTGAGGGTACTCCCTCCCCCTTATCGTTCGCCTCCTCCTCTTCCCACCCGCCCTCGCTCCCCCTCCTCCCCCCCCCTCCACCTCCCGCCCATAGACAAGGACGCGAGCCAGTCCATCGACCTGGAGGAGTTAAAGACATGCTTGCACGCGCTGGGAGTGGCGATAGCGGAGGAGGAGGTGATGCAGCTGTACAAAGAGGCGGACATGGACTGCAGCGACGGCATGCAGTTCAAAGAGTTCATCTTGCTCCTGGCGCTGCTATATCTCCTAAAGCCTAATGTAAGTGTTAGCACACGGCAGACGCGGCGATAGTGGAGGAGGAGGTGATGCAGGTTGATATAGAGGCGGACGTGGACTGCAGCGACGCATGCAGTTCAAAGAGTTCATCCTGATCTTGGCTCTGCTGTACCTCTTGAAACCCAACGTAAGTGCGTGCAGCATATGGACTGGAATACCAGAAGAGGAGGTGATGCAGGCACCTGTATCCTCCTCCTCCTCCTCCTCCTCCTCCTCCCCTCCCACCCGACCCCACCACTCTCCTGCTATTCCGCATCTCTTCACAGGCGCACTTTGGTCTCCCAGAGGTGGAGCCAAGTACCCTTCTCCGCCACACCTATCCTGGTGCACTTGGCTCAGCCAGAAGTGGAGACAGCCGTTGGGCTCATAGCTGATGCGTTCAACTTCTTTGACGTCACGGGGGAGGGGGAGGGTTCCCTCACCTCACTCTTGCCAATCTTCCCTTCCCAACTACCCGTCTCTCCCACTTCCGACTCCAGGCGCACTTCGCCCAGCCAGAGGTGGAGGCGGCGTTTGGGCTCATAGCGGACGCGTTCAACTTCTTTGACGTCACGGGGGACGGCTTTCTCACGCAGGCCAAGGTGCAGCAGGCGCTGAGCGGCGGCAGGGATTCCTCTCCTGGCCGCCTCGCAGGCCAAAGATTCGGTGAGATTTACAGAGAGAGTGGGTGGGAGGGGAGGGCTGGGGCGCGTGGGCTTTCTCACGCAGGCCAAGGTGCAGCAGGTGGTCAGTGGGGGCAGGGACTCGTCTCCTGGCCGCCTTGCTGGTCGAAGATTCGGTGAGCTGAAGGGTGGGGCAGAGACTCCTCTTCAATGAGTTTATGGTTCTTGTTCCCTCCTCTTTCTCTCACTCACATGTATAATCGCTCTCTTGTCTCTCACACGCATGCACTACCCTTCTCTTTCCCTTTCACACGTGCTGAGTCTCTCTCTCCTCTCTCCTCTCTCTCTCTCTCTCCTCTCTCTCTCTCTCTCTCTCTCTCTCTCTCTCTCTCTCTCTCTCCAACTCAAATCTGTGTTTCCTCTCACAAACTGATTTTTTAGTCGACTCAAAAATTACCGCTCACAATCTTAACCATCACCATCACCCCCCAACAACCGTGATGCATCACATCACAACACAGATGATCAGCGCGCCTTGTGTGCTTCATCTGTGTTTCTCTCTATTTCTCTCTTCCTCACTCTCACTCACTCACTCACTCACTCACACACTTTCTATTCACCACCAGCCGAAATGGATTACAACACGGGCGACCATTGCACGTTGAACGAGTTTCTATTCGCCCTTACTCTCGTTATTGATCTGTCTCGTGCTCACTCACTTCTCACCACCAGCGGAGATGGACTACAACACGGACGTGCAGTGCACGTTCAACGATTCCTTGTCACCCAGCTCGCTGTCTCCCTTGCTCTCGTTCCCTATTGTCTCTCCCTCACTCACACTCACTCACTAACACTCACTCACTCACACTCACTCACTCACTACCCCCCACCAGCCGAGATGGATTACAACACGGACGGGCAGTGCACGTTCAACGAGTTCCTGTTCGCCTATGTGGGATGGGTGGGCACGGCAGAGGAGGACGAGGGGGACGCGGGGGAGGAGAGAGAGGAGCAGGCGAAGACCCCAAAGACCCCAAAGTCGCCAAAGACACCAAAGACGCCAAAAAGTCCGGGGAGGAGTAGATGACAGGGGCATGAGAGCAGTGGGTAGGGGGAGAGGACAGGAGATGAGGGGGAGGAGAAAGAGGAGCACGTAACGACCCTACAGACTCCAAAAATTATGGGGAGGAATAGATGACAGGGGCATGAGAGCAGGGCGTTGGGAGAGGGGAAAGGAGATGAGGGGGGTGAGAGGAAGAAGTAGGATCAGGCAAGGCCCCCAAAAAGGCAGGGACACTCCAAAGACACCGAATAGTCCGGGAAGGAATAGATGCCAGGGGCGTGAGAGCAGTGGGTAGGTGACTTTCAGGTGTACTTTGAGTTGACTCAAATGACCCCAAAGACGCCAACGACTCCCAAGGGCTCTAAAAAGTTGGGGGAGGAATGGATGGCAGGGGACATGAGAGCAGTGGGTAGGTGACTCTCGATGTGACAGCAGTGCGTAGGGAGAGAGGAGAGGAGATAATTGCTGGGGAAGAGGAGGAGGTGAGCTTGTTAGCAGCAGCGGGATAGTAGTGAGCATGTGGTGGCGGGCTAAGGAGGGAGGGGAGCGGAGCATTGTGAGGAGGAGGGAGGAGAATGAGCAGGCTAGCAGCACCAGGTTTGAAAGGAAGACATGGCGGTTTGAGTGTGTGTGCGCCTTTGGTGCGGTGGGAGCGGGTTGAGGGGCGAGGAGACAAGAGAGGGAGCGAGCTCAGCTGCGGACCTCCCAGAGGCAACAGCCCTGCAAGAGAGGGGCCCCTTAGCTCCTCCCACCTGTGTTTCTGGTTAGGGAGGAGGGCTGTTTGCCCGAGGCTCAAGGGGTGGGGAGGGCCTAAGGAAGGGAGAAAAAGGTGGGGAGGGGGGGGGGTGGGGGGGGGGGGGGGAGGGGAGAGGGGGGAGGAGAAGGTTAGTGAAGTTCCGCGTGCTTCAACGGTGGAGAGATGGGTTGATTTTAAGAAAGACGCTTGGTTGGCGGCATCGGCGTTGTTTTTTTGTAGCGTAGGGCTGGATTGAGAGGAGGTGAGAGGAGTGGGGTGTGTCGGGTGGTGGTCAGAGGACGGGCGGATGAAGAAGGTTCTAGAGAATCTTAGAAAAGCAGGTGGTGAGGGGATTGGGGTGTATGGGGCGGTTGGAGGAGGATGGACTGCTGGAGAAGGGGAGGGGATGCCATGTAAGATATGATGGTTGGGGGGGGGAGGGGGGGGGGGGGGGGAGATAACGATTGGCAAGCCCTATTATGCATCCACTAGAGCAGTGTGTGGGGCGATGCATGCGTTGTAGAGTTGGGCAATGTTTTTTTACATTAATAGGTCCAATGTATTTCTTACGTGCATTACTGTTATTGGGCTGGTAGTATCGTGCGTGATTATTGTACGCATGGCTAGGAGTTGTTCTATGAAGCTTTCATGATTTAGTACTTAGCCAGCACCTTTTCAAATTCAGTTGCTTCTCGTCCTCCCTTGTTTGCGAATAGCTCCTTAGCGGGGAAATGCAATTCCAGCTGTGTGCTCTCAGCCATGTTGTTGGGCTACCATGTTGTGATGCAGCTGGTGCTGTGAGGGCATATTCGCTGAGGGTCAACAAAACCTCGCGAACCATTTATAACAAACGGAAGAAAAAGCATAAACGAACCAACAGTCTGCTCTTCCCCAGTCTAGCGAAGCACCTAGCGCTGTGGTGAGGGCTTATTCGCGGCCCAGCTGTCAATTAACGCTAGGTTGGCGTTTGCTGGGACGTCCGCTCTTGCCGCATCAATTCACATTATTTCCCGCACAACCACGCGTGCTGCCCTGGGACCTGTGCGGAAAACGCAACGCTTCAGTTGAGTTGCTACGCGTCCCCACTACCTGAAGCATCACACCTCACTCCCTCGCCTCTCGCCTCGCGCCTCTCGCCTCTCGCCTCTCGCCTCTCGCCTCTCGCCTCTCGCCTCTCGCCTCTCGCCTCTCGCCGATGGTGAAGGTCCAGGCTTCCATGTGACGCGATCGGACATCTGCGTTGCCCGTCTGCATGGGATGCCAGGCCTTGCCCGCCAGCAGTGCCGCATCAGATTTCGAGTCCTCTCTAAAACAGGTACAGGCTAGCACGTGACAACAATTGCTTTGTTGTTATGGGCAACCAAGCTTCTTCTGCAAACGTGGCTATGTCTGAAGGCCCAACCCTAGTTTCTGGAGCAGCAGGGGTGAAGCAGCCTCAGCAGGCGTCTGGAGTTGCACAGGCCAAGCCAAGTTCACAAGATGGTAAGTGTCATCTCAGCCTTTTGTTCTGCTGTTCTGCACCCAACTGCCTCCCCACTCAGCTTCTCCTTCAGAATTTCGTTACTCTTCTGCCGTCCTCTCCACTCACCAATCCGTGGATCATTAAACCCCCACTGCACAGGTGCTCACCATTCAGAATCTTTATCAGGCTCTCACGCGGTGCTTGGTTGCAGTTTCCACAACAGTGAGTCTCCGGTTTGGAGAGCGTTCCCTGATACTTCTGGAGCTCGCTATAATCCGCCTGCCGCAACGCTCCCGCTTCCATTTGAGCTGTACGGCCAGCCATTTTATAGAGGCTTTCAATGGGAGAAGAAAGTGTAGGAGCAACGGTTGTGTAATGTGGATAGCCGGAAGTAGTTTCCAGCTGGAGAAACATTGGGTCAGTTACTTGGTATATTGTCATTGTGTGTGCACCTTTAAAGCTTGGAAATGGATGAGATAGCGCTTCGCTTTGTGTTTTTTTATTGAATGTACTTATCGCCTTCAGACAAGCTTCTGTCGTACATTGGGACTGTTTCTACCATGCCTATTATTCCACGTGGCGATGAGTTTGAGGTTGCCAGCATGGTCCAATCTGAATGCCGCCGCCTGCTCTTCCGGCACAAGCGAAAGCCTGGCATATTCGTGGGTGGTAACTTTGGAAAAAGGTGTTCGTTTCCGTCGTCAATGGCCACGTGCTCGTTGTGGAAGAAATGTCGCCTCTGTATGGCTGCTTTACCACGTGGCTACAGAAAACAAGGGCGACCGTGGGTAGTCGGGGACTAGTTATCCTTTCGGGATTGCCGATGTTTGTCACAAAGCACCGTTGATGGTCCAATGTCGAGAGACGTATTACGCATTACCACAAACTTTTGTCATGTCATCGAAGTAACAGACTCGTACCGAATAAAGTACCGTGCTAATGCTGGCTGGATAATTGTGAACATACAGACTAAAGACATGGGGAATCCACCAGAAGAGAAGAAAAACTACATTTCACTAAAACAATGAAGAATCAGCCTTAGAAATGGAAAGTGCACTCGCCTACTCTGGCTAAGAATAGGGTCATCTGGAAACCAATTTACTTCAGAACTTCAAAATTGGCATGAATGCATGGCTCCGATTGGGTGCTGGCTGGCGACGGTAACGAGATGCGTTTGCGAAATCAAAATGTGCTTTATCCAGGGCACCTTGGGATTGCCTTGCCCTCAGGATTCCATCCTGTGCCTCCTTCCTGCGTCACCACAACCACAACTTCGCTCCAGCGCTGGTGGCTTTTCCCTCCAACACATATTTGGAGCTTGATCCTACGCACAACCGTGGTTAGAGATAACCTGAGTTCCTCGTTATCTCCGAGAGATTCGCACAGTCCAGCCTGCGGGTTTCTCCAGAACCATTCCCTGATCTCGGCGATTGAAACCCTAGGTCCCTGTTTCGACCAAAACATTTTGTTCAGGACAGGGAACAGGGAGAAACAGCCATCAAGGGTGGCTTCATGGCGAACGCCACTCTGCCATGGACCCTCGGCGGTCCAAGGAGCTCCTGCCCCGCGGAGTTACACGTATGTCCTTCTCCACTGACGAAAATGGCTTTTCAATTTTCGTATTCTGAGAACGCTCGGCTTAAACACGTGAATCCTAACGAGTCGAGCCCGTCAGAATCTGATCGACTCTGTCCACAGCAACAGATGGCGGCTGAGCCGCGCAGCAATAGTCCCATTGGAACCCCCTACGCTTCATTCTAGCGTTTGTGCCGCCAGCTGGCTGTTTCGTGCAACGCATTGCTTCGAACCTTGCGTAAATGTGTCCAATCCACTGCTTGACGCTCGTTTACGCTGTGAAACTTATTTCCGCTCCCGCCTGTCTGGCCCCAATCGAGACGCGTAACTGCACACTTATCACTGGAACCGGATCCAACCTTGCATCCTGATAGGCTGATGGCATCATCACCTCCATTTGTGCCTGTGCGAAGGTCTACACTCCCTATCCCATTTCCTCCCTTCCGTTCCCCTTCGGAGGTAGGCGTCCCCATTGAATCTCCAGAATGCGCGAGATTCTGAAAGCTGGAGCACCCCTTCCTTCCGTTACCCTTCTGACATCTTTGATTCCCATCCCTGCCTCGTGTGTCGTCCTCTCGTGCAGTGTTTGGAGTGGGCCCACCGTTACTTCGGCGACTGCGTGTGTAACTATCGCGACGGGGTTTCGTTCACTCTGGGCATGATGAGCGTCGTCGCATGGGGCGTCGCCGAGATCCCGCAGATCGTCACCAACTTCTTCGCCGGCAGCACCGAGGGCGTCTCGCTCGCCTTCCTCATGACGTGGACCGTCGGGTGAGATGACGTGGACTGTTGGGTGAGATGACGTGGACTGTCGGGTAAGAGGAAATGTGCTCTAGGGTAAGATGACATAAGCTGTGGGGTGAGATGAGATGGATTGTGGGGTGAGATGAGATGGGTTGTGGGGTGAGATGAGATGGGTTGTGGGGTGAGATGAAATGGGCTGTGGGGTGAGTTGAGATTGCGTGCTAGCACTGTACTGCTTGACATTCCCATGTCGTCCTTCTCTCTTCCCCTACCGTCCCTTCCATTCTGTCCCTTCCCTTCACCAGCCTCCATCACTCGCGCACCTGTTGGTCTTGCTTGCCTCTATGCTCTCATCCCACACCCCCATCGACATTCCAATCCCAAACCGCTTGACTCTTGAGTCCGCTGAAAAACGCACATGTTGATCGTTCCTCTGTGCTCTCATCTCATCTCATCCCAACCCCTCCCATCGACGTTCCAATCCCCCACCCCCTGACGCCACGTGTCGTCACAGGGATGTCTTCAATCTGGCCGGCTGCTACCTCGAGCCTGCAACGGTGAGCTCTCAGTCGACCCTGCTTACACACATACCAGCCGTTTCGTTTTCCGCACGTGCCAGTATGAGCCGGAATGGAGTCCACAACTAGATCCGTCAAATAAGTACAGCGCCTCTGCCCCCTTAGTAATTACCTCTGGCATTCCTCTGTTCTCCCCTCATCCCATCTCTGTGAATGTGCAGCTTCCAACGCAGTACTACATGGCCCTGGTACGATGCTCTCTCTGTGCCTTGTAGCCGTCTCCAGTTACACCAACCAATGAACCAACCAACCAACCAACCATCGTTGCTCTCATGCGTGCCCTTTTTCTGTTGGCTGTCCTGTGATAGTTTTTTAGAATTCTCAAACACCTGTCTCTGTTGTTGCTCATTTCGAGTTCAAATCCTGCAGGATCCATCAGCTCGCCTGTCCTTCGCCCTCTCATCCCTACCACCCCTACCCATACCACCACCACCCCTACCCCTACCACCACCACCAGATGTACACGATAACGACGATTGTGCTGGTGGCGCAGACGGTGTACTACGAGGTGGTGGTGCCGCACAAAGAGGTGGACGAGGGGGAGGAGGAGGAGGGCGAGGTCGAGACGGCAGACGGAGTCTGCAGCAGCACGGCTATAACGGCTCAGGTGGGTTGTAGCGATCGTGCTGGCGGCGCAGACGGTGTACTACGAGGTGGTGTGCTGGTGCCGCACAAAGAGGTGGACGAGCGGGAGGGCGAGGGGGGGGAGACAGCGGTGCAGGATGGCACTGGTGTTGGCAGCAGCACGACTATCACGGCTCAGGGAGGTTGTTACGATCGAGCTGGTGAATGAGTTGATCATTGCCGTGAGGAACCTCACTCACTCACACCCTCACGATCCTCACTTTCCATTTCGCTGCGCTTTCCACCACCTGTCCTCTCCGCTCCTCCCTCCCACAGACCCCTCTGCTCCACGCCCAGCAGTAGCCATCATTGTACCCCGTGGGAGTGCCCCAGGGCGTGCCCATCCCTGCTGGCCGTCGCTCTGAGACCTCCCTGTGCCCCTTCCCTTCCTCCCGTCCTTTCCCTTCCCCACCCCTCCCTCCCACAGACCCCTCTGCTCCACGCCCAGCAGCAGCCGGCCTCGACCCCAGTGGGAGTGCCCCAGGGCGTGCCCATCCCTGCTGGCCCTCGCTCAGAGATCCTCTCTGTGCCGCTCAGCCGCAAGTCGTCCCACCGCGACATCCACATCCAGTCAGTTCATGCTCCTCTCCCTTTTTCGGATCCGTCCTTGTATGCTCCTGCGCATCCTCCTTTTTCAGAAATATTATGGTCCTTTCTTCCTTCCTCACTCGGGGATGCTCTCTGTGCCGGGACATCCACATTCAGTCAGTCCCTGCTCTCTAATGGTCCGCCTTCTCTCTGCGTCATTTTCCCTTTCGTCATCCTCCCTCTCGTCATCCTCCCTCTTGTCATCCTCCCTCTCGTCATCCTCCCTCTCCTCCCCCTCTCCCCTTGATCTGACTCCCTTACCGTGTCCTCCGTCCATCCGATGCCCCCGCAACATGCCTCCCCTGCTTGCCCCTATCTCCTCTCTCTCTCCTCCTCTCCCCTCTCCCCTCTCCCCTCTCCCCTCCCCCCCCACCCCTCCCACTTCCTTCCAGCTCTGCGCGCTCGCTAGCCAGCTGCCACACGCCCACCATGGGTTCCTTTGTGCCGGGGTCGCACGGCCACCATCCCGGGTCGCTGCACCACCGCCACACGCAGCACCACGTGGGGTCGCTGCTGAGCCAGTCGCCAGGCCAGGGGGTGCCGCATATCTCGCTTCACAGCAACAGCCCCGTCACGCGTGCTGTGAGTTACTAGGCTCGTCGTGAATCAGGCGGCTTATAGCGCTGCCTGCACCACTGCCACTAGCACCACCCCCAGCACCACGTGGGGTCGCTGCTGCTGAGCCAGTCGCCAGGGCAAGGGGTGTCGCACATCTCGCTGCGAAGCAACAGCCCGGTCGCGCGCGCTGTGAGATCTACCGAAGAGACGTGGTTCCGTTCCATCCCATCCACAGATTGCCATCCCATGCAATCCCTTTGCTGCAACACTTGGATGCATGGATGCATGGATGGATGCATGGATGCATGGATGGATGCATGGATGCATGGATGGATGCATGGATGCATGGATGGATGCATGGATGGATGGATGGATGGATGCATGGATGCATGGATGGACGCAGCACATGCTGTGTTGCTGGGCATCTATATCGTATAGGGTTCATTCATCAACGATCTTGGACCACGTGCCATGCTGCCTTCACCTTTCAGCAACGCCGTTTTGCAACCCTCGTGCCCTGGTGCTCGCTCCTTTCTCAACCGTCTCCCGTTGCCTTCCGTTCTCCTCCCCCTGCTCCCTCCTCCCTCCTTCCTCCTCCTTCCTCCCTCCTCCCTCCTCCCTCTTCCCTCCTCCCTCCTCCCTCCTCCCTCCTCCCTCCCCCCTCCTCCCTCCTCTATCCCACAGGTGGCCTTCGGCATGCTGCTGGTTGGCTGCCTCCGCATCGGCTCCCTCTCACACTCCCTCTTCTCAGCATCCAGCAACACTCATTTCTCCTCCAACCCCCACCAAAACCCCGCCCTAACCTCCTCTTCCTCCTCCTTCACCCCTCTCTCCTCCCTCTTCCCCACCATCTCGTCATCCTCCTCTCCTCTCGACCTCGTCTCGCAACCTCGGCCTTCCCAAGTCTTCCCCATGCGCCGTCGCCTGCTGCAGGTGCGACACGCTGTCTTCAAGGGCATGGGCTTTCCTCCTTACCTCATACCATCAGGCTAATCACAGTCAGCTGTAACACAACCGGTGCCATTCAGCCATGATATCGCAATGCCATCTAACCCCTGCTTGCTCCTTGCTCAACCGTCAGCCTGCTGAAACATCTCTGAAACTCTGACATTTCAGAGGTTCAGAGGTCTTTGAACCTCTGAAACTCTGACATTTCAGAGGTTCAGAGGTCTTTGAACCTCTGAAACTTGCACCATGCATCCTTGCCCTTGTAAATCCGTTTCTGCTGCTGGTGCCATGTTTTTCCTCCCACCTCCTTCTCCCCCTTATTCCCCTCCCGTTCCAGGCTAGCACGCACGGACTGTTCGCCCAGCACTCGCTTAAAGATGGTGAGTTGCAACTTGCCCCCCCCATCTTTCCCAACCACTCTCTATCCAGCAATCCTCCCCCCCTCCACTCCATCTCCCTCGTAATTCTTGCCTGCCCTTTGCCTCGGCGTGGAGGTTTCAGAAATCATACAGAACCATCCGCGCATCTCTGCTCCCCCATCCGCGCATCTCTGCTCCCCCATCCGCGCATCTCTGCTCCCCCACCCGCGCAACGTATCCCATCGACCAAAGCAGAGGTGACTTTTGAGTGGACTCGTGAGTCGACTCAAAAGTCAAAAATCACATTTTGAGTCGACTCAAAGGTCAAAAGTCACCATGCATCTCTGCTCCCCCATCCGCGCAACGTATCCCACCGACCAAAGCAGACCATATTCGTTTTTCGGAGGCTCATTGCGCTAGCTTGATTCACACATGCCAGTGACACCCTCTTCTGCCCCGCCTTTCCTCCCCTCCATCCGACATCACCTTGTTTTCTCTCCTGTCCTCCATTTTCTTCGTCCTACCTTCCTTGTTATCCCCTTGCCTCCATGCATCTCCTTATTCCCTCGCCTCCATGCGTCTCCCCTTTTCTCCCCATCCACCCCATTCCCCAGGCGATGACGAGCAGCCAAGTGCGCTGGGGGAACTGCTGGGATGGCTCATGGCGGCTATCTACATGGGAGGGCGCATCCCACAGATCTACCTCAATGTAAGCACGGTGCTATCCATGCATGCTTTTTTATCAAGGCATGCTGCCAAGCGAGCGTATGTTGCTGGGATGGCTCATGGCGGCTCTCTACATGGGAGGGAGCATCCCACAGGTATACCTCGATATAGGTGTTAGATAGGTGATTACTGCTCGCTCATCGGTTCCTCCATGCCTTGCACTGCTATATTGGTCGGGACTTCTTTCCTGCTCCCTCGCTTCCGTTTCCCCAGCCATCACTGCCACCTATCCATGCATGCTTGTACACCCTTTCCCCTTGCCCACAATCTTCAATTCCTTTTTCTCCCCACCAGATCCAGCGGGGCGCAGTGGAATAGGGCTAAGTCCACTCATGCTCCGTCCACCCCCCCTTCCCTCTTCTCTCTTTCCTTTCAACGTGCATCAGATCCAAAGGGGCACGGTGGAGGGCCTAAGTCCGCTCATGTTCCTCTTCGCCCTCGTGGGCAACGCCACCTATGTTGGCAGGTGAGAGGCTAGAAGCTGTAAGCTAGTCTCGAAGTGGGGGCGTGAGAGGCCACGCCACCTATGTTGGCACGTGAGGCTGTCAGGGGTTTCAAGCCAAGCTGTTCGTTTGGGGGAGAGAGGCTGGGTATTTATGTTGACACGAGTGAGGTAAGTTGGTGCTTGAGAATTCTCAAAATCCAACTTGGGTATATATGTTGACACGTGTGAGGGCTGCCGTGACCCGTCTCCTCCTTGTGCCCTGCTTCATACACCCCTTGCCTGTCGGCTCTGAGACCTTCCCTTCATTTCCGTTCTCTCATCCATGGCACCATTGTGACATGTAGCATGGCGTGGAGACACATCAATCCGACCTTGTATGAGACCCCTCAAACCATCCCCCTCTTCTCCACCTCACCCTGGATTGGTGCCACATGAAGCGTAGCTCGGCCGAAGTCTCTTTGACCATATCCACCCTCCCCCACCCCCCCTCTCCTCCCCCCTCCCCCCCGCCCCGACCTCTCTCTTCAACACACATCAGCATCGCAGCGCGCAGCATGGAGTGGCCCACATCAGGCCGAGGCACTGCGTTAACACACTGCCTGATCTCCCCCCTCCCCCCTTATGCCAGCATTGTGGCGCGCAGCATGGAGTGGCGGCATATCAAGCCCAACTTGCCGTGGCTCGTTGACGCGGCTGTCTGCGTGCTGCTCGACCTCTTTGTAAGCCACACCGTGTCGTCCCGTCTCTTCGTCAAGGGACACAATCACCTCACCTCACCTCACCTCACCTCACCTCACCTCACCTCGTTGCATGGCCTGACCTCTTCATATGACCTCCTCCATTTGTTAGTACCTTTTTTTTTTTTTTTTTTTTTTGCAACTGTACTCCGCACTTCAGCTGTAAACCTGTTGTCTTAGGGCGTGTCCCTATGTGACACAATGTCACGCTACTTCGTGTCAAAACTGTATTGACGGGCAAATTTGACGGGCAAAATCCGACATGATACGGAGTAGCCTGACCTCGTGTCACGTAGGAACAGGCCCTTATGACACATGCACATACAAGACCACGCGTGTGTGTCCCTCATGCGAGTGGTCGTCGTGGCATCTTCTTATGCACCCTTTCCTTGCTGCATGTGCTCTGCTGCCTGTGCACAGATCCTCTGCCAATTCGCCTACTACACATACAGGAATTCTAAAGAAGAAGGCACAGAAGGCGAATACGAGGACGCCAAATAGGCTCGACCCCTTCCCCGCCAGTCAGCGACAGCAAAGAGTGCTGCAAAGGGCTGTACACGCTAGTAGCTAGGCTCGTCTTTGAGAACGGCGTAGTCTGGGCTGGAGTATTCAGACACTATCTTCAGAAGGCGACCCTTCGAGGTGCCTCAAACTTCATTGTGCATGCCACAACACATTATTCACTCTATGTGATGCAAGGTCTTGTATTGTGCAAAGGGAATCACGTCAGGGTGGTTAAACATCTCCTTCAATCCAGGATGGTGGAATTGTATTTACAGCAGTGTTTTGAGACACTGCAAGCGCATGCAAGATTGTACGATATGATGTAGTTATATTATTAATGGGATTCATATCAAGCTTGGTTTAGTAGTCCACCTGGTGTTCCAGCATCACCACCCTCCATGTGCTCATGCCAGTAAGGAGCCAAAGAGAGTAGTAGGAAGAAGAACAACATCAGGGTAACAGATTATACAACCACAGCAGGCGTTTCCAGATGTTGCAGATTGCTGAGGGTTTTCATTGAACCTGTGATTTCCTAAATAACGGTGCTTCTAGTGCATAATGGCACCAATCTTTCAGGATGTGCTATGACGTGTGAAAGACCGGTGCTTATACTGCATCATGGCACACATCAGTGGGTGAAGAGAGTGATTGAGGAGTCAGCGCCTGCCGTGAAGAGCCACGGTTGGGAGGGGTGGAAGGCACAGGCGAACAGGCCTGCAGTGATAGGAAGGGGTAGGGATGGGAAGAGAGAAAGAGAGGGATAAGAGGAGAAACGGGAGGGTTGAGAAGAGAGTGATTGAGGAGTCAGCGCCTGCTGTTAAGAGCCAGGGTTGGGAGTGGTGGAAGGCGCATGCATAACAGACCTGCGGGCACAGGGCAAGATGGGGTTGAAAAGAAAGGAGCACGGTGAGAACAGGGAGAAGCGCAAGAATGAGAACGCACGAAGAGAAGGGGGGGATGAGGAAGGAGGGTGAGAGAAAAGAGAGCAGGAGCAGGAATGGACGGGAATGGATGCCACACCGGGAGAATGGGAGACTGTGGGGCATGGACAGTCTCAGGCCATGTCTGGCGTGGCTGATGTGCCACGAGTAGGAATACCATCCATGGAGCTGGTTTCTTATCCGTGATGAGAACTCTCAAAAACCAACTCAACTCGCTCGTAGGAAAATCACGCATGCCATGGCATGACACGGCGCAGCATGGCAACATATGCCATGCGGCCTCTCAAGCAGCCCCAAAGGGAGCAACCTTTCTGCAACGACCAAAACTCAACGTACTCTTGGAGGATGAGGACGAAGGGGACGGCGGGGGCGGCGGCGCGCGGAGGATCTTGAGCGGCACGATGAGGGGGTTCTGGAGGAGGTCGGCAAACACCATCCCATGGAACACAAAGGCGGAGCCGTCCTCCGCTGCACTGGCGAAGAGAGGGTATGTGGGGTGAAAAGCCACGCTGCGCACGTCCATGCCTCCATGGCTCCTGAGGAGGGGGGAGAGGGAGGGCAAATGGGGCAAGGCAGGTGGATACGGATGGAACACAAAGGCTGAGTCGTCCTCGGCTGCACTGGCGAGGAGCGGGTACGTGGGGTGGAAGGCCACGGAACGCA